CCGAAACCTAAATCGAAAATCGGATGATCTACACTCAAAATTGATGCAATCCTACCCAACCATCAGCTAGATCATGAAAAATAGGTAGGAATCCATACCTCAATCACCTGAAACGGTGGCCGGAGGAGGGAGATCGAGCCGGGGAAGTTTCTGTCAAAACCGGCGCGATTCTGAGCTTTTTCCGGCGGATTCCGGCCGTTGCTGCCGTCGGGGATGGTCGGGAAAGGTTGCTGGGGTGACGGCGGTTCGAACCCGACTGGTCTGGTGGCCAGTGGTGCACTGTGGCGGCGGCGCTGACCCAAAAATGGCATCGGTGAAGAGTGCTCGGGGGAGCTACGCGCGGAGAGGAGAGAGAAGGAGCACGCGCGGGAGAGAGAGAGAGAGTGACGGGGGCAATTCCGTCTTTTAACCAAAAATTCATTTTCCAAATATTTACGATTATGCCACTGAGCTTCTTCTGATCATATCTGTCTCGTTACAACTCCGATTCGAGTCCACTACGTGTCTACGAACTCATCTCACCGTGCTCTACGCAGCGGTACAACCGAAATTCCCAAATTCCTTTCGGGTAAGAAAATGACCAAAATACCCTTATCCCACGGGTAATTTCTCAATTCCACTTAAATAAATTAAAACATGGGACAAATTTGGGGTCGGGGTGTTACATTGTATAAAAGATGTGCGTTTCTTTTCATACAAGTGGCTTGCGACATATTTGTTTTTGAGCATATAAAATTCCTATGAAAGCTTCTGTGTATATATTTGAGATAAATCATCAAGTGTTCCACGTTTACTTGGTGATTTATCCAACACTTTAATCATTCATATTGCATTCATTTGCATTGTTTGGTGACTCATACAGTTGAGGGCACTAAGACCGTGGTGACAGTTTTCCTTCGGAGAGCTTGAAGCAATCGTGACCAGTATTGCATTCAACATAAGGAGTGTTGAAGATCATCTCGTGACAGAAGTTGAGTTTCGAAGAAGTCGGTAAACAGTATCTAAAATGTGTCTAGGATAAGTGTGTGAGTACTTCTTGTAATCATCGTTCTATAGTGGATTTGAGTTGGACTGATGAGTCCCTTGGATTTTCCCCAGATGTGGGGTTTTACCACATAAAAAAATTCTATGCGTATTTCTTTATTTTACGTTCAGCACATTTCAAGATTGATAAGCCATATCAATCCTACTACCGAAGTTTATTTTTTGTTTATTGATTATAACATTAAATTGGCCTATTCACCCCCTTTAGGCTTTTTTAGTCATTCTACAGGTATTTTCAACTTGGTTACCCATAATTTAAATGGACAGCAAACACATACAAAACAGAAAATAAAAAGAGGAAGAAGATAGCTCTTTGATGATGTGTTGGTTAGCCAGAGTGATTGGATGACGCCTTGACGTTCCTCCTTGCTTCCTAACCCTTTCAAATATTGGAACCTTGAAGGATGGAGCAGAATGGGATGATGTGGCTGCCCTCTTCTTCTCCTTTCTTTTTTCTATTTTTTTGACTCAAAAATCAGCTCCCATTTAACACAGAAGCTGCCTTTTCTTTTATTCCCAAAAAAGTTTTGTTGCTCCTTGTATTCTCCACGTTTCTGAAACCCTACATATTTTTTATTATGACATATAAACCCCTGGGAAATAGGAATATTCCTTATTGGCCTAATTGATGTGATTTGGGCTTCAAAACTTGGACTTCATAAAAGATATCAGGTTCCCGCGCAGACCGAACTACCTGTACTAAAACCACCATAACTTCCTCTAGAAAAATGATATTCATGAACCGTAAAATTCCCCAGAAAATATACATCCGTAGCTTTCCAAGCATATGTGGCTTAGCTTCTGGTTCTTCCTGAGTCAGCACAGTATAATCCGTGAACTTGACTGATCTGCATAGGCGTTTCAAACTCAACTTTCTCTTTTTAGCTCATTTTCCACCATTCGTTTGTGATTACCTAAAAAAGTAATAAAAGAACGTAAAACCTATATGAAAGAGTAAAACAAAGGTGTAAAAATGGAGAAATATCATAGATAAATGTCGAATTTATGAGCACATCAAGCAACCCCATTAACTTTTTCTCATCTTTCGCTAATCTTCATCTTAATGCAATAATGACGTTAAGATGTTTGATAAAATGTTTATGAGTGATTTTAAAAGTAAATGAAAATATCAAAATTGTGGAACACGTCGATTTGATGATTGTAAGATGAGAAGCCTTTTCTAACTTTGTTGCTGCCAAAAGGGTACTTATCTCAACTCTCATCTCAAACATTCTATCAACTTTCATCTTAATCTTCCACAACTCACATACAGTACTTCATCCGCCACACCCACAATCAAACAATTCAAATCAAAGCCATTGGTGCAATGCAAAAAGAATATAACCAAGAGAATGGGGACAGGAAATCGGGTAAAGTCCAAATGAATCCCAAAAGAAAAGAGTGGAGCAAAAACCGAAAAGTCTCTTTCTCCCTTTACTCTCTCTTTACGTGTCAAACTAATCTCCAGTCTTTTGAATAACTCCGAGACGGTTTTGTTGACTCCTTCCCTTGACTGCCAGTTGATACACATAACTCCAAGAAAAAACCAAATCCCATTATCCTCCTTCCCCACATTGTCATTTTGCTTTATCTTTTCCTTTGTTCTTTTCTTTTCCTTGTAACTTTTTGTTTGATGCATTGGAAAAACATGTAACATTGACATAAAAAAAACACAAAAGAGGAGATGGATGACAAAACACCAACCCCTCCATTTCCGGATGCATCCAAAAAAGGAAAACCAATTTGCATTCTTTCCTCTTCCTTTCTTTGTTTTCTTCAATTTAATGGGACTTTGTACTGACATACAATTTGAACATATTGACGATGTTATTCGAATGACAAAGAATATAAAAATCTATGTTTAATTAATCCCTCTCCACCCAAAAAAAGAAAGAAGAAGAAAAAAAAACATGTATATTCTCACTTTGTTTTCTCCCAGCCCATATAAAGAAAAAGAAAAACCTAAAAAGGACAACTAAAAAAGAAAAGAAGAAGAAGAAGCTTGCTTTAGTTGGCTGGAAAACTTGAATTGCTAAGTTTATTGTTGTTGCTGGTGGCGTTGCCGTTGCCATTGCCATTGTTGTTGTTTGAGTTGGTTGCGGGGTTGGTGCCGTTGTTACTATTGTTGTTTGGATGAGCATTGCCAATAATGGAGGTGATGGCTGCTGCCAGGGCTGCAGTGAAGTTTGGATCAGCTGCAATGGCGGCAGTGGCTGCAGTGACAGTGTCAGCCAATGAGTTCTGCTGCTGCCCTTGGTGCCCTGGTTGCTGTTGGTGACCCAGTTGGGCACCCTCCATGTCTTGTGACATTTGCAGGCCAGAGAATTTTGACTGGTTATAGAGTGCTTGACCAAAAATCTGAGGCAGCAATGAGACGGGTCCATTGGTGAAATTCTGAGATGGGTTTGGGAATGGGATGTTGAATTGGCCTGGTGGCCTTTGGAGCTGTAAAGGGTTTGGTGATTGTGTTAAGTCCAATGTAACAGTAGGGAATGGTGCTGAGGCTGAGATGGTGGCCATGCTAGAGGAGCATGGGAGGATTGTCCTGGTGAGGAAGTTTGAGTCCATTAGGCCATCTGCACTCGGCATGGACCCCGAGAGTAGCATTCGTGCCGCGGATGAAGTAGTTGATGCCATTGCCATGGCTGCTGGAGGCAATGGGTGGTTGTGATTGCCTTCATATGTAGTAATTAGGATTGTCCTATCTTCTGCACATCTTTGTACCTGTTTGATCATAGTAGCAATTAAAATTAGTACAAAGATCGAAGATTAACATGTTGTGAATCATAACCGAAAATGGAAACAATCTGACAAAATAACATGTCGCATATCTAATAAGAGAATGTTACCCTAAGCAAGCGAGCTTACTTGTTTACGAACTGGGCAACCAGCAGCCATGGTGCATCGATAATAAGCTCGAGGACACGGGTTTCCCTTTGCCATCTTTTGTCCATACTTTCGCCATTGACATCCATCAGTGATCTATAAACCCAACAAAATTTATCAAATTAGCAAACATGTTGGTACAAAATCTGATGCGTCATATATATAAAACTCCAACATAGTCCAAAACACATACCATAGGTGCCTCTGATCGAGCTCTGACCGAAACTCTTGCCTTCCTCATGGTAGCCTCAGTTTGATCAACCTCTTTGGGAGAATTGAGCCTTGGAACTTTGTTAGGGGCCCAACTCTGTGATGGCTGATCTGGGCTCTCCTCTCTCCCAATCCCTCTTCCAAATTCCTTCTTCTCCTGATCATCACTATGCCCAGCAACCTTCACATTCTCTCCAAGCGATCCAGACCGTTCGCGGCTTCTTTCTTCAGATGAAGACTGTGAAGGCTCATCAGCGTCAGCATTATTGGCAGCCAACCCGAGATCCATAAACTGCCTAGGGACCACTACTGGCGATCCATTGCCATTAATGAGCTTCTTTTCTTCCACCACCATTTTGTTGTTCCCATCAAACACTCCATGGCCTTCAGCAGCGCTACTGTTCTGCTCAGCCTTCTGGCTTTGCATCAACGTCAGCAAATGCACCTGAAGAGCGTTGTAATTGGTAGTCACCTGATTAAGCATGCCTCTCAAACGTTGATTCTCCGCGTTCATTCGCTCAAGCTCAGCTTGAAGAACAGCCAGCTGAGAAAACAAAAGTGATACCAACATATATTAAATATAGCAAATTAGCAATAACCCAAGAATCAGGTCCAAAATTCAGCACAAATTAAATAAATGCAAAAGCTAAATTTTGTATCTGTACCTCACTTTTAGCTCTTTTATCTTCTATGTTCGACGAAATGCCATCATCCACCACTGATTGGTCACTGCTAGTGTTTGTAAGGAGAAGATTCAAGCCAGTCTATAAACACATAAACAAAAACTAAAAACAATAAGAAAATGATGATGACTGTTTGTCGAAAAAGGTTCCGACTTCATTAAAATCTCATGGACGACAGTTGTTGAATTAAGAACACCGATAAATCAATAATAACAATGAAGATGAAGCAAAATGGTGAAAAGGGTCGCTTACATTTACGTTGAATTCCATATCCGTCGGGCCATGTAAGTCCATTTTATCAGCAGGGTCGGCGGAGGCAGACTTGTCTTGATCAACATGGCTCTTGTTATCGGCGAAGAAGTCCCTCTCGTCGATGACTTTACGTTTTTCATTGGAGGGTGGTTCAGGAGAGTGCTGATGGTGGTGATGATGATGTTGATTATCAACATCTTCATGGGTGCAGTTGAGGTTGACTGAGAATTGCAGAGTTGGAGGAGGAAGAGGAGGGGGAGGAGGAGACCTCGGGTGAATTGTGGAGGCGTCCATGTCCATGTTGAGTGAGGAGTGATGAAGCTGCTGCTGCTGCTTCTTGGTCCTGCAGGGTTGATGGTGGTTATATTGGTCTTGTTGAAAGGAGTTGAGTACTATGGGATTGTGGAGAGAGAACCCAAATGGATCTGAATCAATGGAGAGTCCACTTCCCTTGGCCATAAAAACCCAAGAAAACTGTGGAGAGAGAAGAGAAGAGAGAGAGTGTGTGTGTGTGTGTGTGCGTAGGTGGAAGTGTGTGTGTGAGCGGAGGGGGAGAAAGAGAGTGCAATGGACTCGGCAATAAAAGGGGGGCTTGGACTAGAGAAGAAGACCCAATACCAAATTTTGATCAGCAAGAGAGTAGCAGCAACAACTGGTGACTGGTGGTGGTGTTGTGTTCTCTGTTGAACATTAGGTTTGGGATTGTTGGATTTGGATTGGGAGAAATGAGGGGGAGGGAGGAGGTTGTGAAAATGATAAGATAGGGATGAAGAGGATGATCAAATTGGAAGGTAAAAATAAAAATAAAGGAAGGGGAATTAATGCTCTTGGTAGCTACTTGGGATATTGCTTTAAATATCACATGAGGGATGACTAAATACACTTTATATATATGGTCACATGAGTAAAGCCTAGGTCATTAACAAGGATCTGACTTTTGGGTTCATCTTCATGGAAATTTTTTTATTTTTAAAGAATATGGAAAGTTTATTAGTAATAATAAAACTTTGAGCTTATTTACAAATTACACAACTAAAAGTCTCGGTGATTTTCGAAGAAGGTCATCATCTTTCAAAATTTCACGTCGCGACCCAGACTTTGAAAATATTATCGATTTCAACATTTCGTTTGTTTGACGGTATGTTCTTTTGTTAATTATTTACATGGGAAGTGTGGGCCCACTTCTACAAGACAATAAAACTAATTTTGAAGAAAAAATTTCACTGTCTAATTTTGATATAAGATAGTGATTTGGGGTTATATCTTATTAAGGGTTAGGTTGCTTTATAAGGTGAGCTTTGTGTAACACCAAAACTGTATGGAGAAAGAATTATTTCCAAAAATGCTCTTAACGAATAAACGTACTATCAGACAAGATGAATGTTGGAATTGATAATATTGTAAAACTTTAGGTAACAATATGAAAAGATTGAAAGATGGTGACTCTTTTTGAACTATTGGGTTTCAAATTCAAATCTAAATATGATGGAAATCAAGATTTTAGTTAACTAAATGCAATATCTTTTCTAAGAAGATAGGTTTGACCTCCATTTTGTACACAATAGACGAAGAAGAAAGTGGAAGAAAAATTATACCCACCTAAACTCTTGTCTTGATTGAATTATTTATTTTATTTTGGAATGGAAAATTTCAAATGAACTTAAAAATAAATCAGTGATTGGGATGTGTCCATCGTCTTCATACGCCTAGAGCTTTTCTTAATCTCAATGGTGGTAATATTACTTAAATCACAGACTCGCAGTGTAGCAGTGTGAGGAAGCACAGATTTATGAGGGAGGAGGCAGTTAGCTGTGCCCCACATCATGTGGGTCCAACGCGCAAGGGCAGTCGTTCGATCTGGGTCTGATGTCGAGATAGATTGACGCGTTCGCGGCTCCCGATTGGCCCGGCGTCTTTCGCTCGTGGAAAGTCTAGTTTGAGTCAACGGTTCTTAATATGAACCTGGGGCGGGTCCCATATGGAGGTTGCCGATTGGCTTCTTTGGGGGGGAGGGGCCCACTAGGACTTAGGACACGTACCACCGTATGGTTGTATTCGGACCGAGGCTGACGGGTTGACCCCGTCCACCGGAATGGACCCAATCTTGTGTTTTATAATATAGATACCAGATCCAGGAATAAAATGCTAAAGAAGAAAACAAAAATGATAATTAATATAAATACTAAAATTGAAATAATGGTCCATCCATCAGTCGTGCCCCTTGACTATGCTTTTTATCTTTAGTTATTTTTCCCTTATTAAAAGAGACAATGATATAATGGTTTTATGTGGTGCAAATCATGGGCGTCGCTTTAAAATTTGAAATCAAACGAGTGAAGATTATTGCAAAAGATTTCTTGCATGTCAAATACGCAAGTGTATGTTTGGTTTCTTGTATTAGACCGTCTAGTTTCTACTCACGCATGTGCAATTCTTTGATAATTTTTTAGAGCTACCGTCATTACGTCACGTAGTGAGACTAATTCACATATTAAAATATAAATGAACGATATTCTTGATTGGTAAGTTCTGAATCTAAGGTATGTTACTAAGAAAATAAATATGCGCGTCACAAGTGACACCGCGTGACGGTGTAATTATTATCTTGAAAATCACTCCAGTATTTAATAAAGGAAAATTAATATAACTGTATTAAATAAATAATAAAAATGAAGGCAAAGGTATCTCTTTCATGGTAGTTTTTATAAGAAAAGGAAAGCTACAATTATGGGTTAAGAGAGAGAAGATGATGGTAAAAGTAGTCTAAAAATAGAGGATCCAAGGAACCTATTGGAAGCAAAGTTAAAGAAGTGTAGTAGTAGGTAGAAAAATGGATAGATTTTTCCAGAAATTAGGGTTCTACTGGTATATAACAAAATTTAATTTGCCTTTTTTCGAGTTTCTTGTTAATTTTCTAGTATTTGATAACAAACTAGACCAGGTTTGATACTAATCATGTTTAACTAACCCAAATCGATGATGGTGATTTTTTTTGTTCCCATTAATTTTGCCTTTTCTCTAGCATGATCACGATTCAAGCACATACATTGGCTTTCCAATTGTAGTCAATGAAAGGGGCCGCATTATTTGAGAGGGCAAATATAAAGTCGTCAAAAAAGAGCAAATGGGTCGTCTTCTTTCTTTTTCCTCTACCAGCTGCAATCCTCTTCATTTATTCAACTCTGCCTACTTGGACGTGAGTCATGTGACCTGCAAGCAATATAATGAAATCAAAGGTAGCTTTCTATAATTTCCTCAACTCAAAAGTAAACCGTGTCCTGTGCGCAGAACCAAATTGGAAACCAGACTCCTTTCGAATAAAGTTCCTTCCACATGTAGTAATTCAATTTGCATATGAATATTATTCTTTTCGTGCATACTTTTTGTGCAAGCTAAGGCAAAGGATGTGGGAAAGGACTGTGCAATATTTATTTAGTTTGAAAAATATAATAGAAAGGTGGCGGCATTAATATTATATGTGGTTCAAAAGGATGATTAAAAAAACAGTTGTATTTTTTGCAAGGCATATTTCAGGAATAAAACGTGATTCAATTAATCGAGTCCTTTTTGTCACTCGGAAGTTGAAATAGTATATATCTCTATTTATTTCATGTTCAATTTATAGTTCATTTTGCAGTTCATAAGTCACTACTAGTGAATAGTTTTGATTATAAGAATAATTATGTAACATCTCGCATCGATCAACGGATAAGGGGTGATGTGCCTTATATGTACATGCCCGCCTCCATCTAGCACGAAGCCTTTTGGGAGCTCACTGACTTCGGAGTCATGAGAACTCCGAAGTTAAGCGAGTTGGGGTTAAAGCAATTCCAAGATGGGTGACTTACTGGGAAGTTGCTCGTGAGTTCCCAGAAACAAAACAGTTAGGACAAAGAAGGGGACTCAAAGCAGACAATATCGTGCTACGGCGGAACCAATTCAAGAATATGACAAATTATGTCATAGTCGGTCGTTCACACACATCACTCATATGCATCAACGGCTCACTATGCGTTGGACTCGTCTGGTATTTTCTTATGTAAGTTTGAAAAGAGTTGAGCTCATTGGTTTTTTGTTTATGGTCAAATGAGCTCATTGATTATGTTATGGAGCCTATTTTCTTTTCTTGTATACAATAAATGATTGACTACAATTTAGCTGGCAATAGGGAAAAACGTGAATGCTTATGAGTGGGGACAGATATGGGCAACAATTATGGAATTGAAGAAAACAAAGCAAGTGTGGAGGGCAATATCGGCCTACTACAGGCTGCTAGGGTTCTCAAAAGTTCATGCAATTGCTTTTATTAATGTCTCGTGTACATTTTTTTCCTTTGGGTTCAAAAGCGCAACTTCAGAATCGCTTTTTGAATAATTACTTCATGAACTGGTTTAGTTTAGTGCTAGGCTACTTTTGCTGTTATATGGTCGGTTAAACATATATTTGAAATATCATGCATGCATATGGTCGATTAATCTTATAAATGACAATTGTTGAATACTACAATACTCAATTCTCAAATTTAGTGTAACTTTCTAAAATTGTTTTCGAGTATTGTTGGTTTAACAACATATTATCTCTTATAACCACTCCGCAAACCCATTTAAATTACTCAAAAGATTAATACACCAACAAAGTTAGCGGACTTAGCTCAAGATTAATTAACTAATTGGGTAGACTAATTAACTAGTTGGGTCTTTTTAAACGGCAAACTTAGGTAAGACAAAGTACTAAGTAATTGAGTGACGAATTGCTTTATAAACCCAAACCTACTTCATTTGAAGTTTTACATACATTTATAAACACATTTATTTGGCAAACGATACGATTATTTCAGTGATTGCGGCTCATTCTTGTTGTCTTGTACTTCAAGCAAAACTACCACTCCAAGAATTAGATTAATTAATTAATTAAATTATACACACAAAAAAAAAAAGTTTTGATAAAGATTTATATGACTGCCGACGTATGGTTTGTTCAAAATTAGCAGCCTCTAAAAGGTGTTACTCAATTAAATTATTTGAGAAATTTCTCAATAAAATAGGACTATATATATGTCAAAATGTGTGTGTTGGATCATAAATTTATTAATTAAGGAACATAATTTTATTATTTCAAGATCATAAATTATTGGGTTAGCTGGGCTGCCGGAGAAGACTTAGACCGATGATGAGGTTATGCGTGCATCTATCACTCTTTACAGAGATTTGACAAACCTGATAATGGTGCAGCGTGGATACTCCAAAATCAAAGATCATGTATTAAAATTAAATTAAACAAATATGAAATAATTATTTCATTTTCTTAAATATGATTAAAATAAATATTCATAATGGAGCTAGGTAAGCACTGCGGACTATAGAACCTAGAACTGTATATTAAAGTGATGGATATTTTCACACAGCTAGCAGATTTAATTTGATATTAATATCATGTTGCAAACGAGGGACAAACGTGTATGCATTTATGCCACAAAGTTATTTTTTTTTAATAGAAATTTCGGGATTGCATTTATAATTCAGCTGAAAAAGTCTTTAGCCACGAAAGACCAATACAAACTAGCCACAAATGGACATTACAATAACGGAGCTCTAACATCAAAATTAAGATAATATGGGGCTCCTCCACTAATGATCACGTATAATTGAATAAACTTTGGCATAGTCATTCCAACTAAGAGTGCAAACTCATAACAAAAAAAAATAGATAAAACTTGAAAAAACCAAACCATAACAATAGTTATTAAGGTGCCGCTTGCATATTTTTCAAAACTTATTCCAAATGTGCAAATGAGAGTATAGCCCAATGAAAAAAAATCTTAACTTGTAAATCAGTGATCTCAAGTTCAAATCCCATGACACCGTGATAGTTTATTCCAAATGTAATTAAA